TGGACCTGTGCTTCTGTAAATAAATGAGGTATCCATACACACACATACACATACATACATCTTCAATTCTTTGTACACAAGTCGGCCAACGGTGTAGCAGGAATGCCGGTCTCGCGGGCAAGTTCGACAATGGTCCAATTCCTGCGCTCAGCCATTCGACGCTTGGTTTCAGCTACTCGTTCTTCGTGTACGGAGTGAACATTGTGAGCACCACCTCGGCCTTCGCTTGTCTCCGTTCTTCCTTCTTTGAACATTCGCACCCATTTCTCCACATTACGCTTGTAGAACTCCGAACTCCCGTCCAATTGTTGATTGGGCTCACGATGAATTTTAGCGGCGGTCCTTGTGTAGCGCCCCATTTGATAATTACGCGTTGATCTTGCTCGGTAATAACTCTTTCCAGTTTCTCACTATTTTCTGCTGCAGCCATGATGTCGAAATCGGGCAGTGCCGTAGCTGACGGTACTCTCTTCTCAATGTCGATGGTGTCAGCCTCTTTCCTGATCCCGCCATTCCTCTGAATGTCTGCGAACTTTTGAATGGGATGACCTAATACCTCATGAAAGAACTCCTCGAAAGGGCGTTGACCTTAAGAGTCGAATTAGCGGATAATCATACGTGCACACAAAGCGATAATATATTGTTCTACAGTATTTCTACAACAATGCCAGTTAACTGCACCACCTCTTCGAAAGTGCGGACAGCAATCCTAGAATGTGTGGGCTGTATCCCTCCTAAAGAGAGCTCTGTTCGGACGAGTTACTCGACCGCCTTCCGTAAGTGCAGGGTGGTGCCGAAAACTTCGAAACAACATTTTCACTGTTCGGGATGGAGAGGCGTTTATATTTGGCCAGTAGTCGTGGAATTCCTTCTTCGGATTACTCTTTTCGGGCTCCTACATTGCGATGGAGGTCCGCAGACGTGGAATATTAAGCACAAAAACGTTTTGCTCGGCTCGGTGATCCGTTTGGTGCAGTGGTATAACACAGGAAGGCATTGCTCCCGTAACTGTGTTGCCAGAATCGTTTAGCAGATTTGGAGCATCGACGTTCGAAACCACCTACGGGGGTATACGTCTCATCTTGAATGGCCACTGCGCCGTATATATATATATATATATATATATATATATTTATTTATTTATATATTTNGAAAAAAACAAAAAAAAGAACAAACACCAAAGACTGCAAGAATCGACTCAGAAATCAGTTTGGATAGTTAGGGAAGCCCAAAAAGAATCTCGAAAGAGGTAGTTGAAGCGGGTAACTACAGCAATAACAGAACACCAGTATTACAGAAGGAGCCCCAGTATTGCGTGAAAGGCAACATGAGCAGGAGGCAGTATCCGTATAAGTGGAACCAAATCATGAGAGTCGAGCGATAACAACTCAATAATAGATAATAAGAGGCGAAACGTAGAGCTAGACGAGCTTCTCTCGAAAAGCAACGCAGTGTCTCCTAGAAAGCACCAGCATCAGCCGGCTATGATGCCCTTCGCCACTACGGGGTCATAGGGACTTGCCAAACTCCGACACACGGGTATACCGGCCGTCCACGTGGAATGGCAAGGCAGGCACTTAGGAGGAGAAATACAGGCCGCTGAACGAAGGAGAAGCTGCAACAATCAGAAAAAACCATCCACATAATAGCTCAGTATTTCATAGAAGGATCATGAATGAAAATAGAATCAGTAAATTATCGATATATATATATCGATATATATATGGGTGTCCCAAAATTATTGGCGCCAAAATTCAGAAACTTCTAAGGTAGAAATAATTTATCAAATCCACATTACCTGTTATTAATTAGTTGCATAAGAATGCAACATGCATGGTTACTGAAGTGGAACTCCCAGTATCTTTCAGATGGAGGAGGCTCATTTAATGCCATTTGCAATCATCGACACGCGTGGAGGTGGAAGGGCATTATGAAATTTCTTGGGATTTTCATAATAAGCGTATAGGAGGCTATTGAACAGTATAGAAAAGAAGATTGAATCAGAGACAAACCAGGAAAGGTAGAAAGGTAGAATGTTGCTAAAGATAGGACTATTAAAACTTCTGTCAATCGGTCGGGATCTTGGGTGACCCATCAGAAGAAAGTCAACGGGCACGGCTTACAGTAGTTATCGCGATGGAAGAATGTCGTGCAGAAGCTTGCCATTTCAATCGTATGCAGAATTTTCGCTTCAATTCCGATCTCAACAGACACTGCAGGGCCAAAAATGCAGAAAGTCGCAGACCCACTTGAATGATGACACGCAACCCTTCGTCGTTTTCTCTGACCAAAAAATCCTTTACCATAAAACCATCCCTCAACAGCCACTGTCCGCGTTCCGGAAAGAAACATCTAGGGTGTAATATCTCACAAAAAGGTTGCTATAAGATCAGTTAAATGTTGGTTTTCGAGGAAATCAGTGGCAAGGGTAAGCCACTTGTGGTTTCTTCGGTGCAGACGTGAAAAATGACCAAGGCCAGTACACAAACAGCGTACTGATGGAAGTAATGAAGCACTGATCCGACTACGTTTTCTTATACATCTCGTAGTCCTTCCAGCAGCGCGCTACGTCAGCCCTCAGCGCCATGCTTGCCCGCGAGTGGTGCCGACGACAGCTGCCCGACTTCATTGGTGAAGAGGAATGGTCATCCTATTTTCCAGAACTCGACTCACCTGACTCCCACGAATGGTCCCTGATTAGAAGAGGTCCTGTCGAGTTTGCAGTCCCAGTTTGGAGTCCTAGATTGCAAAGGCTGAAGAACGGCTGGGAAGAAATGGCGAAGGATACCGGTGTGCCACATGCGATCAAGTCAAGAGCAAACTTTGTGCTTCTATCCGCGCTGATGGGGAAAATTTTGAAATGCGACTGTAGCAATTTTGAAATGCGACTGTTGTAGCACATAGTGTTAGCTAGCGTGCATAAAAATTCCGTCTTCAGCAGTTGAGAAGTTCCAAATATATTGCTATAAATCGGCGCCAATAATTTTGGGACACCCTGTATGTCTATATAAATATTATTGGACAGAACAATGAAAGCTCCAACACAAAGTTTCATCGAGGGCTTTCGGACCAAACAACCCGACATCTGATGGTAAAAACCAAAGCATGTGGCAAGGCAACAGGCTGCTATTATGGTAGGCAGATATTTCCCCGAACGGGCCCTTGTACTTATACCGGAACGCAGTGATTTAGAAGTAATGTACCGGGGCTTGCTGTGTGCGTTTCAAAGGCACAGTTCATGATAAAAACTGTTCCGAGTTCTTCCTTTAGGAATACCCAGTTGCCCCCAAGGGTAATAGGAATGTTCAAAAACTCAACAGCTGGGGCATAGCGGGAGCCCCGTTACCGGATTGCCCGGATGCCCCGCCTCTCGGCCGAGTCACGTCAAAGGAGTGTCGAGGCGATACAGATTGCAATATTTGCTCTAAGATCCACACACAACTAGCTGATTGCAAAGTAATGAGTCGATGTTTCCCATCTTATCTTTCATTTTCTTCATAACCTGGATTACCCAAAATTATCGTGAGCTGTGCCTTTAACGCCTGAAGAACGAATTCAATTGCGACCCAGGGCGAGCGCATAGAGGGACTCGAGCAAAGGGGCTACTCCAGTTCCTCGACAACTACCTAACCACAGCTTCGAGCGCGAAGCGGCAGGTCAGGGTGAACTCTCGCATAACTGGAAATCACTGGAATTTTGCATTAGAGCACGTGATAAAATGCTACAAAATTACACAAACACGGGTTTCA